CCCCACTCCCCTCCTCCAGCCCCAGGTCGTAAAATGCGGCATCAGTATATCGATGACCCTTCCCTACTCGCCTTGCTCTCCTGCTTGCCGAATTTCGGGTTGCAAAAAATAACAAAACGCTGGGAGTGGCGGCGACTTGCTGGATGAGTCGGGAGGCCGCATTGGCTTAGGCGACCCTGATCAGAGTGTTTTTCGCTGACAGCGTCACGGGGGGATGGGGAGGGCCTGTTTGAAGAAACACTATAGAACGGTAGTTCATCAAAAATGCAGAACTCGTATACCGCGGTGCATTTGGTGATTCACATCGCCGGACCACGTCTCGTGATCTCCGCTCACAGGTCCCACTGGGGCCACCGGCGCCCCCACTCGCCCTGCCCCAGCCCCCTTTCCTCTAGTACCAGGACGTCGGCAGACCACACTCGCGCCCTTTACAGATCGCCTGATGCGCAGGCAGCTCTGGCGGCGCGCTGAGCTGCCGCCTCCGCACGCCGGGCCGGGCGGGGTTGGCGCGGCCGCGGCCCGCCCGACGCCACAGAGACAATCAATCTCACCTCATCACCTCGCGTCGCGCGGCGTCGCACAGCTCGACATCGCGTCACCGGCGCGCGTGACGTCACCGGGTACACACACATGGACGCACCACCGGATCAGCCGCGTCTCCACGCGGGTGTCGACGTTTTGACAAATCACGGCACGCCTCCCTCTGTGCCCCGCGCGGCCCCCCGCGGGGACCTCCTGCCCGCCCCCTGCCCGCCCCCTGCCCTAGCGCTGGGCTGCGATGCGCTGCGCCGCCGGACGAGCCGGGGACTCAGGTGAGTCAGGAAAACAAAACGAGGCTCGCGGCCACTATTGTCTGGGCTTTGCCTTTTTGTCTCCCGGGGTCGCCCGAGTGGCCCGCCCTCGTCACCTCGACCGCAGGAGAATCACCTCCTTGTACTGGAATTATTGTTTGTCGTTGACTTTTCAGGCCTTCCCCTCGCTTTCAGTTGTTCTTGTTGTCTTATTTTTTTGCGATTTGTGAGTGGAGGCACATAGATCCCCTCCCCGATTGCGAGATCGGGGACAGTATATTGGGGCGGGGGTGTGACTTGAGGACTTGAGGTGGGGGGCTCTGCAGCACAGCCCGACGCACGGAGCTAAACGCGCTCTGTCACGCTCGTTCTTGCGAACAAGTGACGATGAGCGACGCGGCGCCGTGTTGAATGGCTCGTGCGTGGGCGTGGCGGGCTCTCCATACGGCACGCACACACACACACACACTCCTCACCAAAGCGTGCAATTTCCGCCGGTGCTTTCGGGCCATGTGCGCCGAGGCGGTTCCCCACACTGCGGACAGAAGCGGGCCTTCGCGGCCGGGACGGGGCGGGGCTCGCAGAGCTCGCGGAGCTCTTGACTCGGCGCGTCTTTGACTCCGTGTGCAACTTTGCACGCAACCGTGTGTCCTTGGACTTGAACTCGAGAACAAAAGCGTCCTCCCGCGCAGGTGTGTGGCGTCTCCCCCCTGTCCTTTAACGCGTACCTGGAACCGTTCAGACGCGCGACGATGCCCCCCCCCCTCCTCCCCCGCACCCAGGGTCGTGGCTCGAGGCGCTCATTTTCAGGTTTTGCGCGTCGATCGGACCACTCTCGCGGGCCCCCTTCGCTAAACGAGCCGAGCCGTGCGCGGCCGGGGCAGGCGGTGGAAGTAGGCTATATCCCCCCAGAGGTCGCGAGACGAAGTCACCACAAAACAAGAGCGGACAAGTCAAGGATAGGGCTGCGTCGGCGGCGCTCCGCAACTCCACAGTTAGACTGTACCGCACACACGGGTCCGGGCGGGTTGCCTAGTGCTCCTTTACTTGTCCGCTCTTGTTGCGGAGGTATATGGCAAGTTGGAAATACGCCACCACTACAAGTTCGTGTTTTCCCGCGCCGCGTACCTAAGTTTGGCGAGGCTGACACCGAATACATTATTTTAAAATTACACTGAGTACAAAACTTGTGAATCTTTGGGATCGTATAGAATGTACATCCGTTTGTCATATTCATTCGGTCTTTCAGCAAATTACGAGAGGTCGGCGCCTGCGATAATCGGGTTAGGCCACCCCGCAGTACACGCAAGCAATGCAGGCATGATGTTGCCTATCTACCAGGCGCTACGAGACCTTGCGTTGTCTGAACCGAGCTCATTCGCACGTTTTGGGTGATCCAAATACAATAATGGTGATAATTTAAGTTACAGGACAAGTTTATTCCACAACACAAAATTTATTTTGTGTTCTACGTCTGCCTTGTCTTTATTTTAAGTACTTTATCGGAGGCTCTCCACGCAACGCAAAAGAAGTGCCGGAGTCTTTCAGTGTTCCAGCGGCCGGCGATTCCCTTCCCCGCTCCGTGTGCGATCGACGAGCGGCGCCAAATTAGTCTCATGAATATGTAAGATGTGAGAAGAATCTATTTCTAAGGGGTTGATTGAACGCACCCTGATGTCTATCCTCCGCTATGACATCCCCTTCGTCACATCGTAAGGGATTGATTGCTCCGCAGGTGGTCGCCAGATGTTCACCCCCCCCCCCCCTTTCGCCTCTTTGTGTACGAACTCACTTGTCTGGAGATTCGAGAAACTGAAGCCCAAGAGGAAAGTAATGGACCGAACCAATGAAAATAACTCAAAAGTGGTAGCAGGTTGGAGGCGCTCCGGGGAGGAGAGGACCCGTTTGGGGGACCTGAACGCCCGTGCTGTACAGTAGTGAACAGCTCAGGGGCGGGGCAAGGGGGGGGACTTATCAGGATCAATTGGTCGGCCAGGGCGTGAAGGAGAGGGGGGAGAAGGCAGGGATGGTCTCGAAGGTTTGCGAATATCGATGGAACGCCGACGGGCGGGACGGGGAGAGGTGGGGCGGGCAGCCAGATCCGAGCCTCCGCAGGAGGGACGGACGGACGCACGGGCGGATGGGCGGGCGGCACCGCCAGGGTGTTCCTGCCTTCCCCTCCTGTACCACGGGCCCTCCCCCTGCCCTCCTCTGCCCCGGGCCGCCCGGCCGTTGCGGATACCTGTGCGGCCGTACGCCCGGCAGGCCGGCAGTCTCCAGGAGGTGATTGCGAGCTCCAGCCCCGGCTCCAGCCCCAGCTCCAGATACGTCCCGCCCCGGCCGCCCTGCAGCACGCGACCACGCCGCGCCACGAGTGACTTTGAACACGGAGCGTCCGGGGCAGGCCCGGCCGACACCATGCGCGTCGTGTCCTTCCTGGTGAGTGCCGCCTCTGCCCAGTGAGTTCCGACTTGCAGGACGCTTGTGATGTCCGCCAGCCGAGTATTTTGCCCCATTATTCTCTGATGAGGGACAATTCCTATGGACTTCGTCCCTTGTTTCCTGAGCGATAAGTGACGAACAATCAGACTGTCTTATGTGACGATAATGGAAACGCGAGCAACATGTTAGGCTGGGGCGAACCCGTATACGGATGAAAACATTGCACCTTATCACGTTCCCTGTGGCATGACCACGTTATG